TTTTTTTTTGAGACAGAGTTTTGCTCTTGTTGCCCAGGCTGGAGTACGGTGGTGCAATCTCAGCTCACTGCAACCTCCGCCTCCCAGGTTCAAGCAATTCTCCAGCTTTAGCCTCCCGAATAGCTGGGGTTACAAGCATGCACCACCACACCTGATTAATTTTGTATTTTCAGTAGAGACGGGGTTTCTCCGTGTTGGTCAGGCTGATCTGAAACTCCCGATCTCAGGTGGTCCACCTGCATTGGCCTCCCAAAGTGCTGGTTTTAGCGGCGTGAGCCACCATGCCTGGCCCTGCTTGCCAGATTCTTATACCTTGGTCAAGCAAGGGAGCTGTCTGTTTTTCTGGCTGTCCGTTTTTCTGGCCAGCTGTATGTGAGCACACTTCTCATCCCACCAGGGAATCTTACTTCTAGCACTCCTCATGCTCATTAGTGAGCCCTCTCACGAACCACAGACTTAGGTAGCCCTGCTTGAAGCGTTTGATGTTCTTGCCCTTGGTAGTGGACTAACTTCTTTTTGGTAGTAGATTAAAAATCAGTAACAAACACATAAATATTAAGCTGCCTACATGAAAGTATTTGAACTTAAGTTATAAATAATAAAATAACTGCAATTAGAAGACGGAGTAATACAGACACTTGAGTCAGAGGCTTGTGTTCAAATACTATTTGTCATGGCTCACTTTAATGAGCCTCAGTTTTCTCATCTACAAGGAAAGAAGGTTCAGAGGCCAAGGCAAGTGGATCGCTTGAGCCCAGGAGTTTGGGCAACCAGCCTGGGCAACATGGCAAAACCCCATCTGTACAAAAAATACAAAATTAGCCAGGCATGGTGGGACGTCTGCAGTCCCAGCTACTTGGGAGGCTGAGGTGGGAGGATCACCTGAGCTCAGGAGGTTGAGGCTGCAGTGAGCCAAGATTATGCCACTGTACTTCAGCAGCAACAGAGTGAGACCCTGTCTCAAAAACAATAGAAATAAAATAAAATAAAATAAAATAAAATAAATAGATGAATAGAAGTATGAAACTCACACTCATTAGGATGGCCTCTTTTTTTGCTGTTGTTCTGGAGATGGAGTCTTACTCTGTCACCCAGGCTGGAGTATAGTGGCGTAATCTTGGCTCACTGCCATCTCTGCCTCCCAGGCTCAAGCAATTCTCTTGCCTCAGCCTCTCAAGTATCTGGGATTACGGGCACCTGCCACCACACCTGGCTAATTTTTGTATTTTAGTAGAGACGGGGTTTCACCATGTTGGCCAGGCTGGTCTCAAACTCCTGACCTCAAATTATCTGTTTTTCTTGGCCTCCCAAAGTGCTGGGATTACAAGCATGAGCCACTGTGCCCAGCCCCCTATTTAAAAAAAACAAAAACAGAAAACAAGTGTTTTCAAGGATATGGTGAAATTGAAAAGCTTGTACAACTGTAGGTGGGAATATAAATGGTGCAGTCACTATGAAAAACACTATGGTAGTTCCTCAAAAAATTAAAGATAGAAAGGCCAGGCACAGCAGCTCATGCCTGTAATCCCAGCACTTTGGGAGGCCAAGGTGGATGGATCACCTGAGGTCAGGAGTTCAAGACCAGCCTGGCCAACATGGCGAAACCTTGTCTCTACTAAAAATTTAAAAATTAGCTAGGTGTGGTAGCAAGCACCTGTCATCCCAGCTACTCAGGAGACTGAGGCAGGAGAATCACTTGAGCCCGGGAGGCAGAGGCTGCAGTGAGCCAAGATCACACCATTGCACTCCAGCCTGGGAGACAGAGCAAGACTCTCTCTCTCTCTGTCTCTCTCTCTCTGTCTCTCTCTCTTTCCCACACACACACACACACACACACACACACACACACACGAAAATTAAAGCTAGAATTACCATATGATTCGGCATCCCACTTTTGAATATATATCCAAAAGAACAGAAAGCAGGAACTTCAACGGATATTTGCACACCCACGTTCATAACAGCATTATTTGCAATAGCCAAGAGGTGGAAGCAACCCATCTGTCCACTGATGGATGGATAAACAAAATGTGATATGTACATGTAATGGAATATTATTTAAGCTGAAAAAGGAAAAAAGTTCTGACACATGTGACAATGTAGGTGAGGCTTGTGGACTTTATGCTACGTGAAATAAGCCAGTCACCAAAGAACAAATACAATATGATTCCACATATGCAATCGTTAGAATAGTCAAATGCATAGAGACAGGAAGTGGAATGGTGGTTCCCAAGGACTGACAGAAGCGGGAAATGGAAGTTGTTGTTTAATGGGTACAGAATTTGTTTTGCAAGATGGAGAGTTCTGGAGATGGACAGTGGTGATAGTTATACAATAAAATGAATGCTTGTAATGCCACCGACCTGTACACTAAAAAAGTGTTAAAATGGTAAACTTTATGTTCTGTTTATTTTACCACAATCAAACAATTTAAAAAAAAAAAGGAACAGGCCAGGTGCAGTGGCTTATGCCTGTAATCCCAGTACTTTGGAAGGCCAAGGTGGGTGGATCACGAGGTCAGGAGATCAAGACCATCCTGGCCAACATGGTGAAACCCCGTCTCTACTAAAATACAGAAAATTAGCCGGGCATGGTGGTGTGTGCTTGTAGTCCCAGCTACTCAGGAGGCTGAGGCAGGGATATTGCTTGAACCTGGGAGGCAGAGATTGCAGTGATCTGAGATCACACCACCACGCTCCAACCTGGCAACAGACACTCCAACCTTGGTCTCAAACAAAAAAAAAAAAAAAAAAAAAAAGGAACAAAAAATCCATCTCATTAGAGTTGTTGGAGAATTAAATGAGATGGTATTTGTGAAGCACTTACTTCAAACCGTGCCGGGGTAAATTATAGCTAACCTTATATTACTGGTGTTATCATTAACAGCTCTTACTTAAAATTCCCTTTAAACCCGTGCATTCTTAAGATGGAGTTGGGTGTGGCCTTAGGAATTCTACTCTGCTGCTTAGATCAGATGGAAGAACGGGCCAGTACTCCTGGATTTACCCAGGGGAACAGTGAATGTGCAGCATAAATGAGTCAGGCCTGGCAGGTCCACCAGTATTTATCTCATCCGTGCTTCCTCGCTGCACCCAGTTCTCTGATTTACAGAATCTGGATCCCTCCTCCCCACCTGATTTCCCAGCCCCAACAAGTCTGAATCAAAAACCGTACCATAGCAGGTCCGCCCGTCTCCTCGGAAGCCGATAGAGCACTCACAGGTGAACTGTGTCCTGGAGCCAGGGCGACACGCTGCGTTGGTGTCACACCCATGAGTGCCGATGTAGCAGGGATTCTGAAGAGCATCGGGGGAGCCTTCTGTGAGGGCAGAGACATTGGAACCAAGTGAGTCTTCAGGAGCTCTTGTAGGTTTCCTCCTTCCATAGAAAGTCAACCACAATTGGTGACCAAGAAGGTGATCACAGAGGAGCAGAGTGGAATAGGACACCAGCCAATTCCTGTGTTGCCCTGAGGCAGGATCAGCAAACTATGCACCTCTGGCCCCCTCCCTGTTTTTATAAAGTTTTATTAGCAACCAGCCATGTCCATTTGTTTATGTATGATCTATGGCTGCATTTGTGCTATCGTGGCAGAGCTGACATGTCATGATAGAGACTGTATAGCCAGCGAAACCTAAAATATCTACTATCTGGCCCTTCACCAAAAATGCACCAACTCCTGATGCCTGCAGCCACAGCTGTCAGAGGAAAGAGAATGCCTACCTTCTTTCTGCTTTACAAAGTTAAAGTGAGGACAAATTGATTAGCTGGAGAAATGATTTGGATATGGAGGAAGAACCAAAGACAACCGAAAAAAAGGGAAAAACTACTTTGGAAGGTCGAGGCAGGCAGATCACCTGAGGTCAGGAGTTTGAGACTAGCCTGGCCAACATGGTGACACCCCATCTCTAGTAAAAATACAAAAAAATTAGCCAGGCCTGGTGGTGGGCGCCTGTAATCCCAGCTACTCAGGAGGCTGAGGCAGGAGAATCACTTGAACCCGGGAGGCAGAGGTTGTGGGTGAGCCAAGATCACGCCACTGCACTCCAGCCTTGGTGACAAGAGCAAAACTCTGTCTCAAAAAAAAAAAAAAAAAGGAAAGACTTTAAGGCCCAGACCAGACCCAATTACACAGGACTCCTGATGTGGGAAGATAGGTGCCCAGGTGCCATGGCAAGAGACTGAAGGCACAATCTGTCCCAGCATAACAAATAACGGATTACTTAGTTATAGCAATGACAGCAAATAGAGTTACTGATTACTTCGTTATAGCAATGATATGTTTACTGATTACTTAGTTATACATATGACACCAAATAGATATTAGGTTTAATCTCATAATCAATTATATAATCAATCTTATTACATTATTATTCTCTATTAGTCTTTGCTCTAGTGTAGGAACATCTTAGTCTTATAGTACAGACATAATCAAGTGAAATACAATTCGTAACTGAAGGGACATTGCGAGAAGTGATCAGGAGGCGAGAGTAAATGCCTTGCGGTAATGCCAGTGCCTGGGGAGGCGCCTGTTGCTTGGCAGGCCGTGAGGGGGAGTTTCCCTTTCACTGGGAGTTCAGAGAAAACTCTGCTCTGTCCGGCTCTCTCGAGGAAGGTTTGACACTTGCCAGGCGGGCTGGCAGACATCCAGGGGCTTAAACACCTCTCAGTGGTGCTGTGCTCTGATGGTCACCATTCTTGTTCACTTTCATGTTCCACTTTCCCACCCGAAGCTCCCTTGTAAATTTTTAGAAGCTGTGAGAAGAAGAGAGGAATTCTAAAAGCCTTTGATCTCTCTGATAAGTGCATAGAAAGATACCAACTACGTATGTGCCTCCCCTCCTTGCAGCGGCTACCTGAGAGGGAGCCAGGTGACCTCTGTACTATACCCATGTGACCCCCTGAACTGTGCCCACGTGGCCCCCTATATTGTAAGGATGTGATGTGCTTGACCCCTACCAATCATGTCAGATGAGTCACTCTCCTGGCCCCGCCCCACTGCCTTGTCATACAATAAACAACAGTGTGTCCAGGCACTCCGCCCCTTGGTAGCAGTGGTCCCCCAGGCCCAGCTGAATTCTTCTCTCATCTCTGTGTCTTTGAGTCTTTCTTTTCTAGATCTATGGTCTTCACACTCAAAAGAGCATCCACTAGACCCTGCGGGGCTGGACCCAGCACCCTGAGGCTTAAAGATATGGACAAATGTGAAGTCTGACATTGGTTCTGTCACAAAAGCTCCCTTCAGCTCCTTCCTGACAGCCAGGAACATCCACAGACCAGACCACAGCCTCAGTGATGTGCAGTCACAGGGTGAGAGTTTGTTTTAGACTCCCTGCCTGATTTTATTTAATTTCCTCAGGCATTAACCACACAATTTTTCTTTTCTTT